GATGCTGTCTTTGGTAAGGTATGCGTGTGTGTGTGTGTGTGTGTGTGTGTGTGTGTGTGTGTGTGTGTGTGTGTGTGTGTGTGTGTGGCTGGCTCACCCGTGGGCTGAGCTCATTGCTTTTGGCATGCCCCAGGCTAAGATCTGTCAGTCGGATCTCTACAGGGTAGATGATGGAGAAGCTGCAGTTCTTGCGCTGGTGTGGCAACACCATGGTAAAACTGCCCTCTGGACTCTGAGACATGATGTTACAGGCTTCGCACAAACATATACACACACACACACACACACACACACACACACACACACACACACAGGAGAAGAGGTTTCAAATTAACAGTTCCCCGTCAACAGAGAAACTCATTACTGACACCTCATGTCACAAATTGGACATGATCAAGGCTGACTGCGGGGAGGGGACACAATTAGGGCTGAGCATGGAAATCCAATTCCAGTTCTGATGACAAAGATAAGAAAATAATGAAATTTGAATTGATAACAGTATGGTACACTGGACAGGCACCAACAGGATTCGGAACAGTTTACTCATGCAGCATGTTGTTCATTAGAAACATTTCATGGTGAGGGAGCTGTGCCAATCAAAGCTGAGGAGAGAATGTTAGAATAAATATTATTAGAATAAATATTATTGAGTTTAGTTTATTTATCTTTCCTTTTTTTATGCCTTCAAATGCCGTTCATCTGATTTACACAGGAGTTGAATATGAATGTCAATAAAATCAACTTTTATTTCTGGTAAAATATGTATTTATTGGTCATCAGGACTATGTTTATATTTGATCCTATTTGTGATAAACAGTATGTATATCACACTGTTACATGTACATGAATGCAGTTTTAGGGCCAATTTCAAACAATTTGGGACAATATGTGACACAGTAAAAGCTTGGATAGGATCAGATCAAACAAAGAAACAGTATTGGGACAGCTGCAGTTAGTTGTCATTATATGAATGAAACCTCACACATTGGCCTGAGATAAATGCTGTTTATCTTTAGATTCTATTCAAACTCCATTGTTTGTGTCTTTCTTTGTCCGGCTTTGTCTCACACAGAGGCTGTGATTGTTATGTTGCTTGACACAGTGTTAACACCGTGTTTGTCAAGCAGCTGGAAAACAGGTGCATGCCTCTCCTTCAATCTCTACCTGTCGCTCGAGGCCTCTATTAATGCTCGACCAGGCACACATGTCCAGGAAGAGCACACATGACTAACCACAAGTCACCAGGGTAGCCCTTATTTTAAAGCATAATACTATGATTTATATGGTCTTGGAACTTGTATTTAATGTATTTTTTTTGGATGTTGTTTGTGTTTTTTTTAGGTTAAGATTTTTTTGTGACTTCAAGACAGCAGTACTTACGGAAAGGGTTGTGCAGCTTTTTGATGGCGAGAGTGAAGCCACTGTCAGCGCTGTGGAGGCGGAAGAAGATCATGGCGACGTTCTGAGAGGAGCGGCTGGTGGCTCCTGTTGCCGGGGAGGAGCAATAATCTGTGTAGCGCTGGTGGAGAGGCAGCTCGTGGTCCTGCTTGCTGGGGAACTTCTCTCCTTTCAGGACCCAGCCATCAAACATCTGTCGGAGGGAAATCACTTATCTCATTGTAATAAATGTTAGATTTCACTTGATCAATATTATCACTTACCAACATATTTCTGTTATTACTTGGGGAATGTCTTCTGTTTTGTGTACAGATGAAGAGGTATTTTCCTCTTTACATGAGAATGATGTTCTATGCATTTGGAGAATGTATTCATCAACGTTTTTATACAGACAATGGATATGTGGTGGTTGACTTAAATATAAATATATCAGATTAAGTATAATAAATAATACATGTGCTAGTCTCTGCATGTTTTTATTAAACGTGTCTTAACAATACACCGTCTTTCAATAACAAAAAACATTTGAGTAATAGCCAATAGGATTAAGTTTACCTGAGGACACATCATTTTACTTAAGTTGTGTGAATAAGTCAAATACAGGTTACAGCACCATCTGTGTTGATTTGAAATAGAGATGTGTTTTGTTTAGTTCTTTGGTATCTTTCTCCATGCTAAATGGAACTGATCAGGGCAGATCAGATAAAACTTTGCCCGATCCTCTAACAACCGTAGCCTGAACTTTCTTTCTCCCATGCCTTTTACCAGTTTGGCCCACATGAAATGAAGCTTGGCTTCACTACTAAAGCCTTCCTACTCTTGCTTAGAGTAATGTGACCAATTCATAGACGATCCAGTGGGATGTTTGGCCCTTTGAACGTTGCCTTAACCCTTTTTGGCATGATTTTAAACAAAAATAAGAAGATTAAATAGAATTTAAAGAGTTTCAAAGCCCTGACCACCCTGCTTCCACTCAAATGGGGGTGGGAGGATGCTTGTGTGGGTTTTATTTTTGGAGCCAACCTTGATGAAGTCTCCGGCGCTGCAGTCAATATTGACGTCAGACAGCTCCAGGCTGATGACCTCACTGGGCTCAGCGATGATAAATGCAGCACAGGCCAGCTGCGGCCGAGACGCCACGAAGGTGTAGGAGCCATCAGTGGCCAGCATGTCCAAACATCCTTAAAACACAAACATTACTTTATTATAATGACATCAATATTTTGGTGTGATCTTCATGAAATAATAAACATAAATATTGACAGTGTGTTCCTTTCTGACATGTGTAACATTTCACTCTGTGGACTTCTGGTAAATATCCTACTTAGTGGTTGTCCTATAGTAAATTAAGGGGAAGTATTATTTACAATATCATTGTGAGCATGGATTTATTAAGTTATACTGACGGATAGAAAGAGAGGGTATTACATATTGTACCTGCCAAGACAACTAAACACCTCTGCACTGAATGTTTCAGCTTCACCTAAAATACTTTTAATTATTTCATTATGTAAAGCGTCCACTTGTTGTTTGCCAAGTCGGTAAGCATAATCAGCTGTTGAATAAAGCTGCTGTGAACTGCAGCACTTACTGAGAGGTCGGCGGAAAATAAAATCCTCAGAATCTCTTTTCTGGTCCAAACTGAGCAGAGAATATAATCCATCTGCAGCTTCGATGTCCTAAATTAAACATTACAGACACAAACAATACATTTGAGTTGCCAGCTGAAACTTTACACAGACATCAGTTTAACATTCCTGACTCAAATAATGTCTTAAGCAATGTGCGATAATTCCATGATATTCAAAAGTGTTACCTCAATGTACCGACTGAGGCCCATCCTGGATGAGAGGGAGATCAGAAAGAGGAGGAAATGTGTGCGCGGAGCCACCGACATGCTGAGTGCGTCTCGTGAAGTGTTTCCTGAAGCAGAGGGGGAATAACGGCGCTGCGTGAGGGGTGGCAGCTTTTATAGCAGCTCAGACACATAGGCAGGCCTACATCAGAGGGTCACTGACACTGACAAACACTGATCCATCATATTAATCATGTGTGAAACGCTTTAATTCATACCCGTATTAAGACACTCTGTGAAGGATGTAATAATAACTGCGTATCAGTTAGTTAAAAGTAAAAACCTTGCATGCATGATATTGCTTAGGGCAATTTCCGGTACACTTATTACATTATCATCGTGCTTTATTCAGGAAAAATAAAGGAACTTGAAATAAAACAAAGCTAGCATACAAAATGGCAACAACATAATTCCCATTTTAAATTATTTGTAATGTTAAACATTTTCCCTTTTAAATCAACAATTCATTGATGTATAAATGTTGAAATGGACCTAGCTGGCTGATACAAAGTGACCCTAACTGAAATGAAAATGAACCTAACTGGCTCATTTACATGTTCAGATGAATGGGATTTTCAAATATAAGTTGCATATGTGGAATGTAACATTGCACAAGTTAAACATAAATCTTACATGAGATTTTTGTAAGGCATGAAATGTTTCTGTTAAAGAAGGACACACATGCAAACATTTGCTTGGACCCAGCAGTGAGCTGGGGTTGGTTCTCATCAGAAGGACCTCTAGGCTTGATCAGGAAGTCAAAAAAAGCTTACTTCGCAGTGAGGATCGGATCCAACATCTGTAAATCAGAAAAAAGCTGAAAAACAAGGAGACTTTTTGTAGTTATTGTCAATTTCCAAAGTATTATAACACTTTTGTTATAAACGTTATTCCTTCCTAGGAGACAGGTATGCCTGGAAAGGCGGCCTCCACTGTACAGCTGTTTATTTTGTGTATTTTCTCCCCCTCCTCTCCTCACAGTTTAATTGCACATTTCTGTTTCACTCCAGGAAAAATGGCTACACATAATTTTAAAGAACCCTTTTCATCTCAGTGTCAAAATTGTGAAACAAGACTTGATATGAGGTAGATTAATACTTTGGCTGTAAAAGTAAATCAGAAAATGCAATCACCAAATAGTATTTCCATCTTCATAATTCAATATAGAAAGTACATTTTGAAAACAGTTAGTTGGGGACACTAGTTTTGGTAAACTTAAGCACAAAGATAACCCGACCAGAAGATTAGTTTGCTTGAAGATCATGCCAGTTCTTTGAGATTTGATGATATTCATTGTATCCCTGCATGGAGAGATATTCACATTATATGTTCAGTTGACCAATGATGCTCCATATGTGTGTCTTTCTGCTAGTTAGACCCAAACAGAAAACCAAAGCAATAAAACATACAGCTGGATTCACAAGCACAGCAATAATTGTATATTTTAACAGAACAAAAACACACCATGGAGAGCACAAAAAAAACAACTGACCAGAATAATATAGAAAAAGTAGAAAACTGAAAGGAGTCAGAGAAAGAAAAGCTGTTATGTAATCTGGTGTTTAGTGACATAGCTAATTCATTTGGATGAGACTAATCGTTTGTGTCCATGCTGCCGTTGTGAAAGGTCACACTGAGACGTTGCTGAGTGTATGTGATGACGACCATCCTGTCAGCCTTCATACACACTTCAGCCCACACTTTCTCCCATTCATCTGAAGTAGAGACGAGGGACTCTGTGTGAAACTCTGGCTGGCAATTATCTTCAACTAATTATAGCTGACATGTTCTCACAGTCATGAAGGTCTGTGATGCCACACGCAGGAATACAAACTGAAAAAAACAAAACAATAATGAACATAATGATTAGGTCTAACAGCCCCTTAATCTGTTGACAATGGTGATGACCTATTCAAGGTGTATTAGTTTCACTTTAAGCCAGTGGTTGGCGATGATAATTAGTTGCCCCTTACACAGTCCTTGTGTTGAAAAGATGTCTGAAACTATTAGCTAGGGTCTCCCAGCGTAAGTGTGCCTTGCTTATGCGAATGACAGCAGAGGAAAAGGACAATGTGTGTGTGTGTGCCTGCGTGCGTGCGTGCGTGCGTGCGTGCGTGCGTGCGTGTGTGTGTGTGTGTGTGTGTGTTTGAGTGTTTGTGCTACACATGCTTGTCCCTTGGCGATTTCTCACAAAGGCTGTGATGTGTGTGATGCAGTGCTGTGATACATACTGTAATTGTTTAAATACAATTTATGAAATGAATCGATACATTTAAATGAACATGAAACCCCACAGTCTCATTACACTGCTTTGAATGATGAACAGATATATCAATGTGGATTATCTATTCACAGAGTTCATCTTATACTATATAGAAATCATATCTAACCCGACACAACCCCCACCATTTCAGTGAAAAAACAACACAGACAAAATGCATACATATTAAATGATCTGTTGGAATTAGTGAATTTAGTTGGTTAGACACACTGGCAAATATCCCTGCTCTGAGGTTGCAGAAAATGTAACACAACATTTAAATATCATTAACCATAATACATTAAATTAGGAAGGCTTCATGTCCTCACATTTAAAAATAATACCAAGTGCCAGCTGCCTCGGTCTTAACAACATCCAGGACTACAGCAACATCTGGTGGCAAATGTGGGAACAGTATATTTCTATATAGAAAAATATGCATGCATTATAGCTCACTTGAAAGTGCAAGGGGGAAACAAAACCTTACTTACAACTTTTCTTGAATGCAATTATTATTCTGCTCATTGGTAGTTCCTTTAACAGAAGCAGTGTGATTTGCCCTCTGTGTCTGTGATGCTGGCCCCAGCTGGCCAGGTGTGTGTCAGCCCCCTGTTTGAAGTTTTAAATCACAGTGATTGTTGACTCCGGACATTAGCTTCTCAACCTCGCCTCGTATCCCAGCATGCAACCTCTGCCTGCACATCTGCTCCCTGGCAGAGAAAGCACATATAGCAAGGTATTTTTGCTTTGTTGTTCATTGAGTGTTGACTCACACACCCACACCCACACCCACGCACACACACACACACACGCACACACACACACACACACACACACACACACACACACACACACACACACACACACACACGCCCTTCTTGTGTGGATCTGTCTGTCCAGCCCGGCCCTCCTCACTGCCTGACTGACCCATTCATCTCCTGCGGGGGCCGTAATGAGCCGACCCTCCCTGTTTGGACCGACCTGACAGAGAGAGATTACTTTAAAGCCTGCATGGATTTTCTCCCTTGTCCCCTCCTCCCCATTCCTCTCTCCTGAAAGTGGTTAATTCGGAGTGCATTAATGAGGAGCGATGGATAACACACTCTTCTTTTAATTACCTTCCATCCGAGTTCTTCGGAGAGGCCCTGGTGACTCGCATCTGACGCTGGCCTGTTAGTTTGGTTTACTTTAAACAATTTCAACTCTTACATGTTTTAGTAAGGATACATTCTGACAAAGTACACAAAAAGGTATTGGTTCCGATTATGCTGAGTCAAGTACTTACGGGAAAAAGCCACTGGAATTTTGTTTTGTTTTGTTTGGCCTGGAAAGCAAAAAAAAACAACTTACACATTTTAAAGGGATGATTGATGTTGCATGCAGATAATTGGAATTATTATACATAATAATATACTAACAGAGTGCACTGTGGAATATTTGTTCTTCCAACGCAGCAAGGGTTCACTTGTGTCCAATCAGAATGGTGCAAAGCCTGTGTGTATTGGCCCAAAAGTTAGCTAAAGGGCTGAGGAAGTAAAACCAGTTCCAAAGAATAAACTCAAATCTTGTTAGGCTGATTGACAAGGAAATATTCAGTCCCAAAATCATCAAATTACATTTAGACCTTTTGGCCAACTAGATGCCACAATGTGTCTTATCCTCATAGCTCCGTCATTACTAACTCACTGGAGCCTGATCCTTGAAGAAAATGTTTATTGAAACAATGAAGGAGCTCTATTCAACATCCTCTCTTGTTGTGAAGCAGTGTTTTTGTAATGCACTACTTATTCAGAAGGGTCAGAAGAGAACTAATCAAAGGAGTTTTCAAATAGAACAGACTTGCTTCAGTATAGTGTATAATACCTGCTGGTTTAATGATGGAGGCAACTACCACTTCCTCGTAGTCCCTGGAGGCTCCTATATGTCAGACAGCTGACTTTCAATTTATGTCTTGGAAATAATTATTCACGCTGCAGACACTGACCAACACTAAAATAACAGTGTCAGTGGGCTCATGTAGCATTGGACTGGGGTCACCAGTGCAAGAAGCAAGGGTCCATCTGTGTCAAAAGAAAGAAAAAAACCTTAAAGAGTTATATTGTAAAAACACCACAATAGACTGTTGCATTTTTTGAAAACAAAACTCTTCCTCTCTACATAAATCATCTAATTCTTAACTAAGTGCATACTTGTGAGAGGCCTGGATAGTGTTTTACTCTCTAATCTCTGACCCCCTGTAGATAAGCAAGGACACTCCTGCTGTAATTGTTGGTCAGATCTCCAGCTAAATATGTCTCCTCTTTACTGGATTCTGATAAAAATTGTACATCCAATTTAGATATCGACTGCATGCTGTGCCTTAAACATACGATGTTAAGTTTCCTGGTTGAAGTTCCCTCTAACTCTGAAACCTGTCTGCTCAGGGCAGCTGGGGGGGCCTCTGACACTCAGTAAATGTGTTCCTTCATCATTCAGCCTCCACTGTGGTCTGGCCAGCCTTATTCAGCCTAATAAACATTGATTAGTCCACATAATCAATGCACTCAATGACAATGATTCAGTGCACTGCATAAATGTATCGACTGCAATCAGCTATAAACAGCAGCCCTCTTTTTCATGCACTTTCTGCGTTTTTTCAGCTTTGTTTTGATGGAAGAATAATTGTATGATTCTCTGTAGAGTTAACAGACATATTTCATTAAGTGATACCGAGATGAGATAAAAAATCTATTGACCATCTGTCTAAATCTTTTAGAAATAAATAAATAATTGTATGATTGAATGTATTAAAAAAAGAAAAAATGTGATCTTCTCAAAATCCACCAGAAGGTGGCAATGTTTAGCTGTTGTTTTCCTCAAAGTACCAGCTCTTTGTTGCTTTCTCATCCTGAGTATTGTACACTGAGTTATCTGTACTTCAGCAGAGCAGTGATTGAACTGAATAAAGCAATGCATATAGATAGCTTACCTAGGCGCCGCATGTACATAGTTCTTGTCTATCTGTCATAAAGACAAAAAGTCCAACAAAAAATAAATATGTTCAGAAATGTGACATTTGAAACAGGACTACCATTTAATTATAATCAAAGGGTTTTAACCAGGAAATGAAGTACAACTGTTGGATATTGTAGCCACCAGTTTTGTAACCAAAAACTAGTTAATGCACCTGTATTCAGGTTCAACATGTTAAAACACATTTAGTCTGTGTGAGGAAAGTTTTTGGGGAATACCACATCACACTTATCTGCTCATATAAAGCACAAAAGATCCAAAATAGTGCCATGTGATATATCACCTTTCACCAAACAGTTGAATATAGAGTAAAGGTTCAGAAGGAAAACCCCAACATGAAGCTTGCTGCTCCTGGTTTCTGTAGCCATGCATGACCAGGTCATATAATGAATGTTGATAAAGTAGAAAAGCCTGTTTAATCAGGACGGATCACT